GCTGGAATTTGAAAGAAATGAAATTCATTAAACTTGATGTGAAAAAATATTACATGTGAAAATATTTGGAAAAAACAAAGTTTGAAAGTAAAACTTGAATAAAACAAAAAAGATCTGAGAAAACCTCAAAGTTTCTATTTTTTGATAGCATTTTATTCTTTTTTTTTTATTTATTTTTTTTATATATTGTAATAATCCCAGAGGGAAATGACTTCTCTGCATTTAACCCCTCCCCTCGGGGAGCAGTGGGCTGCCATTTACAAAACTTGTTCTCCGCAACAATAATGGAACTAAATTCACTCCATATTTTGTTAGTCACTCAGAGACTCGATGGAGCCATTTTAATTTAAAAAATAAAACACAAAAATCAGCAACAAATGAAATCTGATTGAACCGACAGGAACAGAGATTTTAAGAGTTTTAACAGATGCTGAAGCAGAACCATTTGAATCTGGAAAGTTTTGCTGCATTCATCAAATCACAGCACTACCATCTAAAAGTAGAAATAAATATACTGGAAGCAAATTATTCATGCTTTTATGAAACGTTCAGCTTCTCATCTTTAGCGGCAAAAAAGAAAGAAGGAAACTGCAGAAAAAGCAGCTAAAGATGTTAGAAAAGGAGGAAAAATGGGCGGTTAGAGGAAAACATGCAGGCAGGAATGAGTGGCTCCTACCTCTGCCTTCCAGTGCTGAGGAGAAAGGATGGAGGAGGACAGGAGGAAGGAGGGAAGGATGGAGAGAAGAAACAGTTTGCTGTGAGAAGATGGAAAACTTCATGGAAACGTGGAGGAAACTAAAGTTTCAGACTTTGCTTCACGGTTCGTTTCCACCCTGAATCTGCTTCAGTGGAGATAAAGAAAATCAGGAAGCATGTGATGATCAGCCGCCGAGCTGCAAACCGTGACTCTGCTGGAGAAACATCTCAGAGCTTCTGGAAGCAAACATCTAATCACCACAGGGTTAGTTTTCTATCTGAACTTCAGATTTTATTCTTCTCTCCGTCTGTTTAGGTGATTTTATAGTTTTATTTAAATTTCTGGTGGATTTAGTTTAAATGAACCTTGTTAATTATGTTGATTATATTTGCTTATAATATCACGCATGTTTGGCTTTTTATGGCTCAAAAAGTTCAAATTAATTAAAAATAGAATAGAATTTAACTTTATTGTCATTCTATAGTCATAAGAGCAAAGCAATGAACTTTCCTCTGCATTTAACCCCTCCCCCTGGGGAACAGTGGGCTGCCATTGTGCGGCGCTGGAGGAGCAGGGTGGGGTTAAGGGTCTTGCTCAGGGACCCAGAGGGGCAGCTTTCCAAGTGCAATCCCCTAACCACCAGGCCGCCACCAAAAATAAAAATGTTCATTAAAGAAAAAAATACTAAAGACATAAAAGCCCCCCCCCATGCAAAAAAAGTGAGGAAACAAAATCTAAAATAAATGTTATATATTTTATATTAATAAAAGTCTTCAAAATATCGACATAAATGTCATCCTAAAAATTTAACTGAAGCAACACGTAAAAAAAATAAAATTAAACTTAAGTGAAAAAAATCCACACAGATAAAATCTACACAAAAAAACATTTCATTCAAATAATTCAGCAGCTGTAACCATGGCAACGACGTCTGATTTTCAAAATAAAATTTTTGAACGTTAGAAAATCGATTCTCTGATTTCAATAGAAAAATATCTGCAGGTGTAAAAAATTAAGATTGATTTGACTAAAAAAAAATATAAAGCCTTATTTTCATCATATCAAACTTAATGAGCTTCCAATGATTGACGCTATAAATATGATGCTTAAATACAATTAGATTAAAGGGTTAAAATATAAGAAAAAAGGCAAATAAGAGAAATAAAAATAATCCTGTTTCCTTTTCCTTTAATGAAATAAATAAAAGGCAGTTTTTGTTCAGAAGAAGAAATCTATTCAGAGCTTTTCTACCAACATGGTGGATTTTCATCTCATTTAATCCATTAATTAAACTCACTGGACGTTTGATCGTTTCTGTGAGAATCTGGAAAGAATGTCGGAGTTTGAACAGAACAGTTTTCCTTCCTGAGACACATTGAGCTCCACGGCCTCCTGGACGAGTCTGGATCCCAGATGTGAAACCCGAGCGGTTCCGGCCCGCTTCAGCGCGGTTCTTCCATAATCGGATCCAGGCGGGAGTGACTCACCGAGTCTCAGGCAGAGAAAAACTGTTTCTGTTCTCCGGCTGGAATCTTCCTCAGTAGGAGTTTATCTGCTGATGCTTCTGGTTCCACTGAGGGACGGAGGATCAGAACTTTATGCTAAACCTCAGCAGAGCTGGAGATTTAAATAGACGTGAAAATGACAGAATGTGAAGCTTCAGCTCGTTAAGGAAGAATCTGAGGATTCAGGCTCTGGAAAAGTTCATGAGAAGAAGAAAAATTTGCATTTTATGTGAAGCCTCTGCAGAAAGCAGGACGCCTGCAGAGCTGCAAGCGTCTTTTTTGTTTCTGCATTTTTGGCTGTTACACTGTCAAGGTCAGGAATCTTGTGGGAATCATATTGGGTCAAGGTCAGGGATGTTGTGGTTTGAAATAAATAGGTCCGGGACCTATAAAGTCAACAGGATTGACAGAAGTATGAAAATAACAGAATAAGTATTAATAAGTTAAAAATATATTAAAAAAAAGTAACATCTCAAGAATAAATGTTACACGCTGTGTCTTTAACGAACCACCAACCATTAGTTCAACCGTTTTCTACCTGAGACTCAGAGAAGGAAATAATCCGATTAGATGTTAATCTACGAATAAAGACCTTCTGATGTTTGAGGAAAGCAAACATCAGAAGCTAACGGTTGAGATCCAGAAACCTTCCAAAAGCAGAAGGAGACATTTAGGAACATTTCTTTCCACTGATTTAAACAGAAACCATTCAGTCGTCAAAACTATTTCTTCTTACCTTCACCAAGTGCTTGTTGACCCATTTTGTGAAAGTCTTCTTCTGAACCCGGTCCCGTTCATCTGTGGAGACACGGATCATCGGTTCTGTTAAGTTTTAGATTCAGAACAGAAGGTAAAAAAAACAGAATAAAACTTAAACCTGTAAAATTCATACGAGGGAATAAAATCATTTAAAGGAAAAGTCGCTCATATTCAGAATTCAAACTTCTGAAAGTTCTTTAAATCTGAAATGATTCCATCCTGTTNTGTCAAGGTCAGGAATCTTGTGGGAATCATATTGGGTCAAGATCAGGGATCTTGTGGTTTGAAAAAACAACATTGTGTTTGAAATAAATAGGTCCAGGACCTATAAAGTCAACAGGATTGACAGAAGTTGGTAAAGACATTGTTGGAGTCTGCATTTTTATTTTTTATTTTTTTTCTTACTTGCTTTGATTCCGCTTTATTTTCTTATATTTTAATCATGTAAAGCATTTTGCATTGTCTTTGTACTGAATTGTGCTACACAAATAAATTCGCTTTGCCTCACAGGAGACAAGCAGCTTATAGAAAGTCATTTAGAACCTGTGAAAAGGCAGCGCTGCTTTAAATGGGAGAATTTAGGGCCATATCGGTCCGTCTGTCGTACCGGCTGCTCAAAAAGAACCAAAAACTTCCGTTATTTCAGATGGATCTATTGTCAATGGTCTTAAATGGGTCTGTGGTCACAGCTGCAGAAGATTCATCCTCTCAAACTGCTGAACTCGGTCAGGACTGAAGAAGCATCAGAGCGCCTCCCGCTGGTCAGGAGGGATTATCCCCGCTCAGCCGGAAACTTATCGTTACGACCTTTGAACCCCGGCTGGTAGCGCGTCCAGGTACCCATAGATATGCATATAACAGTAGACCCCGCACTGACTGTCGCAGGGCTAAAATTACAGGCGCCATCTTGGGGAGGTCGACCCGCTAACCCAACCAGCTGGTTTATGCAGAACAGAAGAAGGATGCCTCGGCAATGTGCAGCATATTACTGTTTGAATGTCTTTGTGAAGGTGATATATGTTAAAAATAACTTTATTGTCCCAAAATGGGTAAAATGAGGTGTAACAGCAGCAAGAGATTACAGCAAAAATGGATACACACCTGCGGACCTTAAAAAGTTTATAAAAATAACAGAATAAGTATTAATAAGTTAAAAATATATTTAGAAAAAAGTAACATCTCAAGAATAAA